TATTCTTTGTAAATGAGTTGTATGTGGGTGCCATTAGTACACATGTTGGGCGCCGAGACTTGGCTGGCATTGACTGCCTCTGGAGTCTGCTCCGTTTTGCCATGCTCTCAAACCTACAGCTCCAAGGAACTTTTTGCCAGTTACCTAGCTCACAGACCTGCATGTGAGGGGTCTGGTGACCCAGCCTGGTGTGTGAAGGGTCTGGGGACTCAAGCCTGGCATGTGAAGGGTTTGTGACCCGGTCTGTGAACAGGCTTGAGGGATCTGTGAGCTCCAGACCCAGCCCTAGCTCCACAACTGGCTACATCGGCAGGATTCTGACATTAGCCCTAGGGCGACAGTTAAATAACAATAACAATGGTTAACAGTAATCATAATTTAAAGAATTGTTACAATTTAGTATTCATTTAGTGCCTGACCATATGGTAAACACTTTTCATGCATTGTCTCATTTAATCCTCAAGACCCGATTAGATTAATATTGTTTTCTTCCCCATTTTTTGGATGAGGAAACTGAGGCTTTCTCAGAGTGATTAGGTAATTGGCTCAAGGTCACAGGTAATAAGTTTCAGAAATGAGATTCACGCTCATTTTATTAGGGACCAAATATAATTTATAGATGACTGATAAAAAAACAAACAAGTAAACAAAAACTATAAGCTGTTCAAAATTTTCTATTAGAAATTTATCATCCCTAAAGGCCTTTTATAAAAAAAGTTTACAGGCCGGCCCGGTGGCGCACTGGATAGTGCGCTGCTTGGGAAGCGCGGCGGCGCTCCCGTCCGAGGGTTCGGATCCCACATGCAGACCGGTTCCCGCTCACTGGCTGAGCGAGGCGCGGGAGCAACACCGAGGCTTGCGATCCTGTTGCCGGTCCCCGGTCCGGTACGGGGGCAACACTGAGGGTTGCGATCCGTTGCCGGACACGGAAAAAAGACAAAAGACAAAAAAAAAAAAAGTTTACAAAGTACAACATTTTATGACTAAAATACTACCAGAATAATTATGGCAACCAGTCTTCCAATCCCTTCTCCATCTTTCTATGTCCTTAAATATAGTAATGAGTACTGCATCCTCCAAAATAGAAGAAATTATTCTTTAACACTTGAAATTCCTGGGACTAGGAAGGTGTTAATTACCATCCAGAAACTCCATGCATAATAAGGCTCAAAAATGTAGATATTTTAAAGCCTATCTCCTTAGCGCTTAAAAACCAAACCTATTTTCTTTCAATATCACACACAGAAATACAATTCCATGACATTCTATTGCCTTTACATCATTTATGCAGTTATGAACTTGGTCAAGACAGCTTCATGTCCCCTCTGAAAGGTGGGTTTCTAAGGTCTCAAAGGCATTTACTCTTTAGATAGGTAAAAATGAATAGAAGGATCAATCCTAAAAGGTTTATAGTGAGAAAAGAAGACCATCTGCTCTCAGATAGCTCTGGGCTGATTTTCCCAGCAGAAGAGCCCAGGTTTTATAAACCTTGTTATCATAAAAGAAAGGTAAAGAAATTGCTGAGAATTAGTACAAACAATTTTCAAGCCCTATAGCAGATTGGAACAATGTGTTTTAGAATTACATGCAAGTTTTGACAGTTGAATTATCTGTGCATTTGGGTAGTTCTGTTTGTTTTTTAAAGGACAGAATGTTACAACACTTTCTGGTTTTGAAATTTACTAGATGCTATGCCTACCATTCTTTACTCTCACATGCTCAAAATTTCAATACAAGCTTTATGAACCAATTTATTCTGGATCAGCAAAGCTTCCAATGTAAAATGACAGCTCGTCTAGAATAAATCTTCATCATCCCTTTGTGCTGAAATGCCAGGAGATTTGAAAACGAATCCTCTGTACACTTTCATGCTGTCCTCTGTCCACCAGATCGTGTCCCTGGTGCTTCCATATCAAATTGATTTTTATTTAACAGAGGCCTTTACCAGCTTCACAAATAACTGCTCGGTGGTCTTTGAACTATTATTCCTATTGCCCGTTTTGCTTCATTCTTTGTTCATTTGCTGTGTTACAGCGTTCATACTGGGGGACAGGCAGGTGAGCATTTTCTCAAAGTGAAAGACACTTTAGAAATTCCCAGGGGACAAGCTTAGCCAATCAGAGGTGCATTACTTATCTTTGATTTCCCTCTCATCCTTTACTCTTTTCCAAATAAAACAGATTTAAAAGCTTGTTTTCCTATACTCAAAGCACAAAAGGCTTTCTAAGACAAAGAAAAGATTCAACCTTAAAAAAAAAAAAAAAAAAAAACAATTCCTTAAGCAGAAAATGAGCCCCTTATTTTTGGTCCATATTCTCCCCACAGCTTTAAAAGTGATTTCTGTTTTAAAAATTAACTTCCACTGAAGACACTGATAGAATACTGGCTAATACTGCTTTGCAAGTGATGAAGAATGATGTCATTTACAGGAGGGCTTTTAGTATTGACAGATGCCATTCAAAAATCTCAAACTAAATGGTAAAATATCTAGTTATAAATACCTTGATGGAAAAGGAAAACAATTCCGTAATTTGATCAAGAGAACATTTCATATACTCTCATTTTATAGATGAGAAAATCTAGAACGGTGGGGGCTCAGTGTTTAGTAACTACCCAAGGCCACACAGCTGGTTTATGAGAAAGCCCAATATACAACCCAGTCCAGTATATTCTTTGCACCACACCGTATTGCTATTGAGAAGCTAAACATTTCTGCCTGACAACACTTCTTCCCACATTATACAACAGAGACTCACAATAAAATCAATATTCTCAAAAGATTTGGCAGCTAGTTTACCATAAATTGTTCCTGACTGCCATTGTTACATGAGAACCTGTAATTTGTAAGAATTCTTTACTACAACTCAGGTTATTGAGTTGAAAATGACATAGTACAGATTCTAAGCCAAGTGTGCTTACAATGAAAGGTCACTGGCTACACAGATGCACATTTCCATTTGCCATTTATTGTCCAAGTAATGCACCTGCACAGCAAACAGTGGCTTCTCCCATTGCTTCTTAATGTTAGCAAAAAAATTCAGGCTCTTCTTAAATTTCTGCTATTGCAGTACTTTGGGGAGGAAAGGATCTGACCTTTTTAAACCTATTTGGTAACATGGTTGAACCAATTTACACAGTACATTAAGGTACCAGACATCTCTGTACAGCAGTTTAATGAATTCCTCTTAAAGTTTGTCTAGAAAAAGAAGGCATGATTCTTACTCAAAACAAAACAGGAAGAAAAAAAAAACAAAGACTCACCACCAATGGAAGAAAATTAGCCAATTTACAGTGTACTATATAACACACTACACAGTGAGGCACAGTATTTCTGAAAATGCTGAGACAGAATGAAATGAATACAGGACAAAAGAAAGAGGGGGAACAAAAGCCCATGTGGAGTTGACCCCTTAAAACACCACTGACGCATGCTGCGTCTAACAGTGGATGTGCTCAATTCACACAATATTTTAGTGCCTCATTAGTTACAACTGTTAAGCAGGGTCCAAGAAGGGCCTGCTATATTCTGAGTTTTCCCCTCACATACCCAAAGAACTTCCATGACTTCATCACTGTCTGTGGCTCAGCAGGGAATGGACACCCAAGGAACTTAATAAATGTGACAAAAGGCTATGGCATCTTTAGTCTACTTTCAAATACTTCAGCTTAGGTAATGTAATATTATTTATGCATTAAAATTATATCTTATATACAGTCAGCAGCCCTAATCAGAATTTGCTCCCCCAGAGTGGTCAATTAGCATATCAGATGTATCTGTATCTCAGTCAACACCAAAGATCTTGCTAATTGGCATATTCAAATGGGTTTTCATTGGTGAAATCCAATTGATTTGCTAGTCACACAGTGAATGTATAGTGGATGTTAAAAACAGGCTTTCATTGTTCAAACTAGAGGTATTTAAGATAAGTGGGTTGGCAAAATCATCTTAGAGACATTCTCCGGCTTGCATGAACAGGGTATGAGAAACGAAGGAGGCCTGTAACTTGTACCCTTTGGACTGGCACCTGAGGCTCAACTGCTAAATGGCCTTATGTCTAGCAACTAGGTCAGAGGATCCCCATTGCTTGATATCTATTATAAAGGTAAGAGAATCCTGCCTCTGGAAAGTTGCCACATCAACCCTGAGTAGAACTTTCCAAAAAGATTTGACTGGAGCACTTAAAAAGGCCAGGGAGCTGGAACTTAAGTTCAGGGTACATGAATGCTTTGTGCCTGTTAATAAATGTTTTTTTAATAAAAGTCTGTGCAACAGAATTGGCCTGAGACTCACTTGAGCTGTAAAAAATTAGCAAATCCTTACCCAAAACCTCAGCCACTTTGCTGTGGCTGTTGATATTTGTCAAAAAGAGTAAGGCACAACCAAATTGGCTTTAAGACCATTCTCAACATATACGTAACACCTACAACCTGCTGCACAGGAGCCAATTCATGCCAGCTCAGTATATCTCCAGAAATTTTATTAGCCAGTTGTTAAACACAGCCATTATTATAAATTTAAAATATCTAAATTTATAATTAAATACATTTTGTTAAAAACAAAGAGTAATAGATACTCAAAACTGATTCACTTCCTAATTATTTTTCTACATTTGATTAGGATTTACATCAATTGTATCTATACAGTGGAGAAACTATATAACTGTACAGTAGTGCTCTGCTGGGCATCTCTTGCCAGCTCTGAGTTCAATGATGTCACACTGGTACTTGAACTTGGTCATGGTGGCAGTATATATGCCATGGAAACCAGAAAATGCTACAAATCAGGTTTTTTTGTTTTCAGGGCTGGTTGTGAAACATTTACCTGAACACCACTGGTGTGCATGGTCATGAATGAACAGAGAAGACTTTGCCTCGTCTCAGTATCCACATTCTAAAGCCTTCAAATACACCAGCATAAATAAAACCCCACAACCCCATTTACCACAGCAGGACCATACCACCATGCACACCCGCCGCCCAGGGCGATGGGACACACTCACTTTTGAAGCAGCTGGGTCCACTAGTCTCTGGCGATGTCTGGCTGAGTTGAAATGGCTCTTCGGAGGCTGCCCTTCCTGACAGTGTATGAAAGATGGGGAATGAATGAGAGGTGGGAAGGGAGAAGGTGGGCATGGGATGGGAAAATGGCCAGAGAAGGGAGAGGGACAGTGTTTAACAGCACTGTACTTTGTTTTAGCTAAAATCTAATAAAAACACATGACATGTTCTCCCCCACAAAAGTAGATGCCATGTGTAAAGTCATTTTGTTAAAAACAGCTTTGTATACGCATGTGTATGATAAAGCCATGAACACAGCCCAGTATTAAGATATTTCCCATCAAATCTTTACTTTTCTATTATCTGATAATTGTCTCTAATTATATTTTAAGGATACTAAGGGAAACCAGAACGTGATTTCTCTGAACATGAAGTCAATCTTCCTAAAATAACAGAAGTCATCATGAAGCATTCTTAGGGTTAGACTGGATATCACCAAAATGACATAGAAATCACAATATTCTTCAAAACCAGACAAAATCCTATGCCTTAGAAGCTCATATCTCCATCATCCTGGTAGAATTTATGGTATCTGGTAGCTACCGAAAACTCGGCCCCTCAATGCACGTTATATTTTATCAGCTGAAATAGAGATTTAGCATTAAGTTTATAAATTAAACCTACGCAAAAGGGTGGTTAGACAAACCCTATTAATGTTCTTGTATATATATATATTGAACAATCAGATCACATAGAAAGGCTTACCACCTCCCATTACCCATTTTATTCCAAACACACAAACATAGAACCCAAGCTACCATATTTTAAAGGGGAAGTTTAAAATAGGGGTCCCCACTAATGGTATAGAGTTTCATGTCTCCACCTTTCAAAGGTGGACAATAGTAAACAAAAATTTAAGAAGCACTACCCACTGTGAGTATGGACTTCAGGGTTGGAGAGATGAAAGCAACAGACAGAGAGTGTTACAAAACCCTTGGGCTTGAAGGCTCTGATGCAAGTGAGAGACAACACAGGCAGAGAAATGAGCTTCAGGTGAGGGCTAGCATTTGCTCAGCTCCAGTCACAGAGGAGGCTGAAAAGACCTACTTAGGTAAAAATGCACCATCTTATTATACTACTTATGAATTCTTTTCTTCTTCTAGGAATAACAGCTCTATTACTTAAGACATGTATCAATCACACCCACTTCAATTGCCAACAATCACTACTTCAGTGTCCACAGTATAATATGTACCTTTCAAAAAGGAAATGTCATAAGTAGCAGATTGTAAGTCAGGATTATGTTTTTCCTAGTACTGCCCTGCCAACATGCATTCTTTCTTAACTCTATTCTGCAAAAAGGCACAGAAACAGCCTTGACCTAGCAAATGTACCAAAGCTTTAACAGCTGAAATGATATTCATTGACTCTCTTACTATTTGACAAAACAAAAACTCTGAGCATGACTTCCCATTTCAATAGAATCAATACTTTTTACATGAGAAATACAGTTGACCAAAGCTTTAACAGCTGAAATGATATTCATTGACTCTCTTACTATTTGACAAAACAAAAAATCTGAGCATGACTTCCCATTTCAATAGAATCAATACTTTTTACATGAGAAATACAGTTGGGGGGGGAAAGCACAGATTATTTATTTAGTTTAATTTGAAAAATTCTCCTTTAAACTTAATGGTTCTTCAAAAAGTGTGTTTTAATGTTTTTCTCCCTAAAATAAGTTATTATATGTAAATAATTATTCTCATTAATTTATCTGGAGAACTACCCGCTCTTATTAACCTCCCTATGGAATGATTACAACGGATTTAAGAGTTCCAATGCACAGTGCCAGGCTCCCACTCATCAAGAAAAAAAAATTAATCTCAGCATTAAATACACAATTACAGTCAAAGTGCAAATTAACTAGATCCTGGGTCTGTGGTTTATTGCTCTTCTTCTGACTGCAAGGTGAAAATGTTACATATTTTTTTAATTAGCTAATTGTACCATGAACTTAGCAGGGGGCAGATGTTGATATTAAACCTGGGATTTGAATCTTAAACTCCCAGATGGTGGAAGGCTGGTTTAAGAGAGCAAGCCCATCCTTCAAGAGGTGGGTTTGAAAGCTGGTCTCCATTTTATCTCATTTATTATCAAGTACAATGAATCTGTAACAATAGCTTGTGATGAACAAATAGGTCTATGAAATAATCAATGTATTTACACAGAGATTCCAGTAATACATCTTAATAAAAACCAAGGAAGAGACTGGAGGATTAATGTCATTTTAATGAATTGCATACGGAGTGAAAATAAAGGAACTGTGAACAGCTCACAGCAAGTTTTTCTGCACGTGACTTTAACCTTAGTTTTCAACAAAACAGTCACATTGTATTCTATTACTAAAAAAAAAAAAAAGCTGGTGGTTAGTTACTCATATATTCTAGAGTTAGTTTGGTGATACTGAGACTTGGTAGAAAGACGCACAAAGATAGATGCTAGATGGGAATCTTTGAGAGGTATTTCATTCATTAGAAGGTGGACATGCCTGTTTCTTCACTTCAGATAGTCCCTAACTGCAAAGCTTTCTCTTTCCCTTTTTACAGGCTTGTTACTTATCAGACCTCCTGTCACACCATAAAATTACAAACAATGCATCTTTGAGCTTAGTCAATTAAGCACAGCTATATCCATTCAATTATGTAATAATTTTTCCATTTTTTAAAAAAGCAAGCAGGGCTCTCATAAATCATATCAAAGGAAACTAATGCCCCTGTATAGCAAATTTGTTCACATAGTTTTCCATGTCCAAGAAAATCAGTAAGTTCTATCACTTATGCCAACATTAAGGGCAAAATTTGTGACTTCACTTTCTTTTCCCACATTCTAAGTTCCAAGAATCCATTTCTCCTTTTAAATGAGAGCCTTCAGACTCTGGTAGCTGTCATTCCAGAGTGAGACGTCAGTCTCTTAGTACCATTTACCTCCTGGCTAATGCCATCACATCAGCAAAATAACAGATTGGACCTGGGCAGCACCCACAGTGCTCTGAACTGAATGGCTTATTTACACATGCAAATAGGGGCTCCCCACTGCAAGAGGAGTGGGGGTGGGAGGGGGGACCGGATTCTGCACTATTAGTTTTGTGGAAACAGAAGCACATTCCATTGCTTAGGTGGACTCAACCAAAATCATTTTTCTGTGATAACCATCACTAATAAAAGTAAGCAGTCCTCAGTTACATAAATGAGCATTTTTCTGATAACGAGAGTTGACATGTGCATAATGTAGATACTTAATGAGACATATTTCATCTCTCTGCTAACTGCTTTTTACCAAGCCTTCTCCTATTAAGTCATTTTAGAAATTATAAATATCCCTTAACACTACAGATCATACTTTAAAAAAAAAATTACTGTTCCCTTAACATTACAGATCTGATAGCTTAGTATACTTTAGCTAAATTTGCATCATGTAAACATATTTATGAGAATGCTCTATGGAAAACAATATATCACGTGTAAAATAATGGGTGCCCAATGAATTTAGTTGCTGACATTAGACTATTTATAATAGCCTATTATTTAAATCAGATATAGGTAACTGTATCTCAAAATGAGAGCCACGAGAAAAATTTAAAACGAAGTATATTTATAATTTTGGCATTAGTTCCATTACATATTTTTAAATCTATCATTAAACATTACCAGCCTAGAGATTCTAACATAAAAAAAAAGAAAAGGACATAATGGATCTTATATATGTTTCAAGGACACCTAGACTACTTCTTAAAATTTCACTCAAAACAGTTTTAATTCTGGAAAGAATCAGATGCATTTTCAGAGAAGAATAAACTTCTCCACCCAATTCTAAGATAGTTTTTGTCTGTAATAAATATATTTCAACCCCAATTGAAGCTCTTACTAAACACTATACTTAAATATAGCACAGCTATTACAAACAGGTGCTATTTAAACAAACAAGTAGCAGTATATACAAAAAAAAAAAAAAAACCTCCATGAAAATAAAGTGACTGATAGAATTCATAAGCTAGAGAGATTTAACAATTATCAAGCATATCAAAATAGGGACCAGAAACCCAAATGAACATGGAAGAAATGTGCCATTTAGAAGAGAGAGCACATTTTTGATTCTAAAACCCATCTCAAAATAATTTATGAAAACCTCCATAATTAATAATTTTGTAAAGAGGAGAGATTGTTTTTCTCATCTCCTTTCAACACCAGGTTTTTCAAATTAGCTGAAAGGTGGGTCACCAAACGGAATAGGGATGGGGATACCCCCACCCTTGAAAGCAGAACCTTAGTGGCTTTCTAACCTTTTTACTGTAATGCTCATATTTTACATCATGAAAACAATACTTGCCAATAATACCAGCAATGCACTCTTATTCCCTGATCTAGTCTAGTTTCTCTTAAAACAAATGCTGGTCTATACCTACTGAATTGATGATGTGATCTGCAATTAAAAACCACTCTAAGATGTGAAGAGACAGGAATCACCTAGGGAACTCATTAAAAATGCTTCAGGTTGGGTCCCAAAATTCAGTGATTTATTCATCCGTTTTCCCCATATCTATGTACTATGTATACTATTACATATACTATACATACTATTATTTTCCTAATGATTTTATTTAAAAAGATGACTCCCTTTACAGGTTGGGTCCCAAAATTCAGTGATTTATTCATCCGTTTTCCCCATATCTATGTACTATGTGTACTATTACATATACTATACATACTATTATTTTCCTAATGATTTTATTTAAAAAGATGACTCCCTTTTTTTTAAAAACAAATACTTCAACTTTAAGGATGACCTACATAATAACATCTTGAAATTCTGGCTCTGTTGTGCTAATTACATTTTTTTTCTAATGGAGATTAAGAAAAATACATTAAATACTAAATCAGAAATATTTGTGTACTGACTAGAGTCATCCTGTATGTAACCAGTGGTGCCCACACCACTTTCAGAAAGCTCATTCTAAAGTGTGGCCCCCGGTGGAAGTGAGCAGCCCAGACACTGCAGATTCAGGGGGTGGGGTTGG